AGTGCCTGTGCTTTAGGGTGATATTTCCTGCCTAAAACCCCAAGGTGTGTTTGGGGTCCCCTTGCGTTGGAGGTTTTCCCCAGGGTGGCTTTGGGGTGTCCCCCCTGCAGTGATGATGCTTTAGGTGTTCCTCCCGGTGTGGCTTTGGGTGCCCCCAGCAGTTCTCAGTGATTTGGGGGCTCCCTCAGGAGTGCTTTGGTGTCCCCTGCTTGGGGACACCCCCAGGATGGCTTTGAGGTTGCCTTCCAGTTGCACCCAGCGCTGTGTGGTGCCCCCACTTTGCAGGGCTCCCCCTGCGCTGCCATGGGGCAGGGCTGCCCCCACCACACACCCCCTTCACCTGCAGCTGCAGGGTCTTTTGCAGGGACCCCTGGACAAGCAGCAGGACCCCCAGTATGGGTGTCCCCCAAAAGAAGTGGGGAGGAGTCCCAGTGCCCTGGTCCCTGTCACTTCTCTGTTCCCAGCCCCAGCTCAAGCCCCACTGGCTGCAGTCCGGGGGGGCTCCAAAGTGGCCCCTTGGATCGGGCTTCCCATCCCTGGCAGCCCCCGCCCAGGGCTGCCTACAAGTCCTGGCGTTATTCTCACTGCTCTGCCCCTCTGGGGTGGGATGTGGGGACAGCACTGGGGTGAGACGGGGGGTGGCCCCAGCCGTGGAGGCAGCAGGAGCTGCTGAGGAGCACTTGGCAGCTGGGCAGGGCCAGGGCTGCCGGAAAACCGGCAAAAATCCCCACAGCCGTCATGGAAAAAGAGGATAAACAAGGAAAGAAACATGACTTGTTGGTTTTTTTTTCTTTTTTTAAATCCCGTGTGTCAGAGCCTGATTTTTAAATCCCTTGGCACAACTCCCTGCTGGGCGCTCTCTGCGGCGCGGGCAGGCTCTGGTTTTCAGGGGGGCACGGTGCAGAAAGCTGCTGGGCACCAATGCCTGGAGCAGAGGTTTCAAGACCGGGGCTTTGGGCAGCGAGCACGGCCGCCCTGTCGGGGGGGACGCCCGGGTCTGTCACACTCACTGCCATTGCCTGACCTTGGCCGTGTCAGCCCCGTCCCCCTCCTCTGCAGACGGGGGCTTATGGGATCCGGTTCCCTGGCACAGCTTTGGCATCGCTGCCTGTTTCCCGGGGGGGGGAGATCTGTCCGCAGGCATCAGCAGTGGCCCCGGGTGAATTTGCAGGATCAGAGCCCACTTGCAAGAACCCATGGGTGCTGAGGCACCCCCAAACCCTCCCCTGGGCCCCCCCAGCTCCTGCCTCTGCCCCCCAGCCCCTCATTGCCCAGTGTAGGGGCCACAGCCCAGGCAGGCAGGGAGAGCCCTGGCTTGGCCCTGGGTGGGCTCTGTTCCTCCAGTCTTTAAAGCTTCAGTGCTCATTTCCTCTTTTTAAAGCCCAGCCTTCCCCTTTCCCAGCTCCTTCCCCTGCGCCGAACCCCCAGCCTTGCTGGTCTGGGCGTCAAGGGCCTGCAATGCCACACAGATGGTGCCATCCGGCATGGTGCCGGGTTTCCCGTTGTCCTTTGCCATGGGGATTTATCCCCCACGAATGTGGATCACAGTCTCCCCAGGGTTAAGCAGCCTGGGCACCCCTGCAGCCCATGGGGGACAGATTTCGGTCACTCAGTATTTTAATGCCCAGAGCCATGCGATGCCCGGGGACTGTGAGAGTGGCTTTGGGGCACCCCACATCCCTGGGACACAGGGCAGCCCATGCCCTCAAAATGTTCCAATGTTGAGGATGGGCTTTTCCCCAGAAAAAAGAAACGGTTGCTGGGCATGGCTCAGGGACGTGGATTTTCCCCCTCTGCCTGCTCCGGGGTTTGCATAAGGCAGGAAATGTCAGCAACGGGCTCTGGTTAATGGTGCTTCGTCCACCGTGCTCATTAAAACCGTCCCTGGAGATGAGAGCAGAGCTCTTAGCAACCTGCCTGCACTGTGGCATTCTCCCCAGGTGATTGGGGTGCCTGGGATGTACAGCCTGCAGAAACCCCCCAAAATCTTTGTCATCCCCCTAGACCCTTTTAGCCCCCCCAGCAGCTGGCTCCCAGCCTCCCTGGTTTTGGGAAGAGAAACCACTCCATGCTTGGGGTCCCCAAACCCTCACCCGTGTGCTCCCCCATCTCCGGGCCCCATCTCCGGGAGCCTCGCAGCCGGCTGATAAAAGCCACCAGGACCAGCATTAATGATTAACCGTGCTCATTAACGAGCTTCCCGCAGAACGGGAGCCGCAACCTTTCCACCCTCTTGGCCAGCACCCGGATCCTGCCGGCTCCTCCAGCCGGAGCCCCCACCCC